GTCTATAAGGATGCTGAGTATACTTCCTGCCACAGTTTTTTGCTGCTGGCAGGGAGGGTTTCAGAGTAGCTCTTGGACATCCAGGGTTTCACACAGGTCATGTACAAATTAAGAGAATCTTAAAAAAAAAACCCTTTTTTGTCTTAAGACACAAAGTTGATGTATTTAAAGGTGAGTATTTTTTAAAATTAGTGCCTCAAACATGACAAAGTATTTCCACTGCCTCATTATGATTTGTGTGAATTGCTTCTTGTGACAGCCAATGGCTGATTTCCTTTTGAACACCCAATTCAGAATGAGAACAGGACAAGCTGTGGCTTCTGCTTCCTCAGAGCTGTGATAAAGGGGCAGTAGTTTGTGGCAACATCTAATGACTTGCTAAATAGACACAACTCAGTAATGTTCATACAGGACATGTTAGGGGAAGTTCCTAACGCTTAACTGGCACTAAAGTTTAGAAGGGAATAGGGGATGTTTATCACTACTTCCCAGCAGTGAGGGCTGATGTAGCATTACTTTAACTGCCTCCATAAAGGAGCTCTCAACACTGGGTACAGAAGCCCTAAAGCATCCATCCCTCTGGGGTTCTTGTTTTTTGGCTGTTAGCATCAAGGAAACAGTTCCAGAATTGAGCTGATGTCAACTAAGTACATGTCTGAAACACTGTTTTCAGGGGGAGTTTAACTTATTGCCTATGAAAATAAACTAACATCATGTACCTCCAAGGATCAGACCACAGGGACAGATGTCTACTTTAACATGCATGGTAGCATCTTTTATTGGAAAAAAAAAAAAACAGTAATAGGATTCAGATTAGGATTTCATTATGAAAAGGCAAATAGCACTATTGGATTTATAATTTTCATGTGCTTGCAACAATTTTTGTAGTTTTAACACCTAATAAATACTTACATCACCTTTACTGCATGACAAACATACCATGGAAGGTTTGTACAGCAGCAGAGGTATGGTCAACACAGCATCCATGGTTATTATTTAAGCAGGGAAGAAGACTGGGGAGTAAGCCTGTTACATTCACATTTTACAAAACAGCAGGACCCCAACCACCACACATTTTTTCCTTCTTCCATCTGCAGCTCAAGACTGTATTGTTCCACACTTCTGACAGGTGTCTCTGTCCATGGCAGAGGGGGTTGGAACTAGATGATCTTTAAGATCCCTTCCAACCCAAACCACTCCCATGACTGTATGAAAAGTCAGGCTGCATAACCCTTCATCTTACAACAGGCTTGGCACTGCTGGGGCAATGGATGGACTCGATCTGAAAGGTCTTTTCCAACCTAAATGATTTTATGCATCTGATTTTTTTGACCTTTTTTTTTTTTTTTTGAGACTGCATTTCTTGTAGCAGCATTACTGCAGTTCTTGATCAAGAAAGTCTGGAAGTTTTATTTCTGGTATATTCCCACTACTGGTAGCAGATAGCTGTTTTTTCCATATGCAGCAGCAAGGTGGGAAACAAATAATGGTATAAAAAAACTTTGACCTAAAATTTCTATCACATTTCCAGTTATTTTTAATAAAGGCATATATTATACAGAGTACAAGAAATGTTTGGGATACAGGACTTAAGGCCATTCTCCCCCAGTCATACCCTGCTTTTTTTCCAGAAGTGTTTTTAGATGAAGCAAGAACTCTCCACGCTTGACAGCACTATAGCAAAGACATATTTCAACTTTACCATTTCCAAACAAGAAACTAAGAAAATATTTGACATCTGTATGCTTTGCAGGTCAGTAATGAAACACATCATCATGCATCACTCTTGGTTTCCGAGCTTTAGTTACAAGTAGTACAGTGTACTCAAATCCACTTTCCAGTAAACTTGTTTGTACATCACAGAAAGTATCACATACACAGAAACCAAACCCCACATCCTCCCCACCCAAAAAAGTAGTCTGACAAAATGTCCTATCAGTGAAAAAGGTATTTTTCTCCAGTGGCATCATCTGTGCTTTCAATTCCATTAAGCTCACACCCAACACAAAACAGTTTCACACCACTTGGGCAAATATCCTAACAAGGACCTTCCCAAGAGGTACCTGCAAATACACCTAAGAACACAGAAAACATGTTTAAGCCTAAACTGAAATACCCAAATGCTACAAGATTCCCTTCATGTTTTTACAAAATTTTATTTTACCCCCCACTAAGAAGGGCCTCACAGTGCAGTACAGAACAAGGACACCATTCTCACATTAGTCTTTCCAGCCTACTTTGAGTATTGCTGTTCCCAAACCCTTTATTGGAGCAAACCTACTGCTCTTCCCTTATTCACGTCTGGGCAGGTAACCCTAAGTCCTGGACGACTGAACAACACTGACCAACTTCACTCCCTCCTTAAAATCCAGGGTCACTTGGGCTGATGATAGAACTATACCCATCACAATTAAAGTGGGGGTTTAATGAACAACTCTGAGCTTATGACCCGGTTGTTTTTACATCTGCCATAAGCACTGCTATGAAGTTACTTCAATAAGAGGAATTTCTAGTAAAGCAGCAAGTTTCAAAGTGAGAAAGTGCAAAACTGCAGTAGCTACAGGTGAGGGTTATGGCACCACCAATTGTCACCGTTACTCCCTTAGTCAAACCTGTAGCTCTTTCTTTAAACACACACTAGGTTTGTGCTACAATTACAAGCTGCACATAAGCAAGAAAAGGTGGACTCAATGTATCAATTTGCTGTTTGCCATCAACTTTTCAGAAGGTAGTTAGGGAAGGGATTAGTAACAATTTAGAGGTTCAGGTTTTCTGCTGAGACTTCTCCAGTCTCTCTGAAAACTGCAGTGGCCATTGTTGCTGCCTTTGAGCTTGACAAGCCCCTGCAGGACTCAGTTTTATCTCTCAGCAAATTAAACCCAAGGCATAGCTAATGATCAGCTCCACTAAGAATCAGCTTTACAGCCTCAGGCACGCCTAGCCCAGATCTTTCCCTGCAGTGCTTTCTTAAGAAAATGGCAATGCAGGAAAACAAGGCAGTTCACAGCACAGTAACAGCACTGAGTCAGATGGAGTTCACAGGATGTCATACACATCCCCCAAATAAAGGGCTGTTCTCCAACAGATCCGCATGTTTCCTGCCTTCCTAAAGCTGCTACTACAGCCAGACTATCAGGATATCCCATAAGTTGAGTGTTTGATTGCCTTCCCTCTCAAGCATTTGCTGCACCCAGATGTGACCTCTGGAAACTTGACACATCTGTTTTCAAGACAGCTTGGTGCTAAGAAGTGTCCCTGCCCTCACAGAGGAACATCAGAGAGAACACCAGACAGTCTGTGCCATGGCACTGCAGAGCCACCACAGAGGCAGTGAAGAGTTGGCTCTGAACTCACCCAGGTGTCATACATTCAGTCTGGAGCTAAGCCCAGCGAAATGAGTGTTGTACTCCAACCTTCCCCTTGCAGCACGGTCAGTTACACCACTGGTTTGGCAGAGCACATCCAAGGCTGAGGTGTTCCCATCCTTGCCCTCTGCTGGGGGCTGTGGATACAGCTATAAATTGCACTTAAAAACACTCAGTCTGGGATTTCTGCATGAATTTTTAAAGTCTCTTTCTCCTTCAGGCATTGTACTCACCAGTGAAGTGCTGAGAAATACTACCTCACACAGGGAGGGGAGGAAAATCTGACAACTAGACAATTTTTCTCACTTTAGACCATATTTTTCATACAAACCTTAGCAGCTTTTCACCTAGCATTTAAGTGAGCTCACAAAACCACACAAAATAACCAGAATAATGTATAGCTTCGTGGATTCAGAATTACTGTTTTTCCCTGACAGAGGCTTTCCTCTGGACAAACAAACTCCAGTCTTACACCTTTATAAACATTAAAGTGTGCTTTTTCAGATTTAAGAGCATATATGGCTTAAGATTTACATGGCAGTTCATTAAACTGTATGTCCAATCCTGCTCATCCCACTCGAAGGCTCACCCAGACACAGCAGATAAAGCACAAGTTACAAGTCAAACTCACACTAACGAAGAGTCTCCGGTAGCAGATCAGATACACACCCAGGGACAAGTCTGACAACACTGAACAGCTTGAACATCCATGTTCCTTAACTGAGTAATCTCCCTTAGCCTGAAAGGACCTTCTTATCACAGAAATATCAAAGGTTCCATTTGGATATACAGGTGTGGTGCTTGTACATGTCTTTATCTTGCCAGATCGTGGAACTCCTAGAAAGTTTTGTCCAGTGTACAGGAAACAAAAAAAGTAAAGACCTACATTTACCTAAAATCATACTTGAAATGGTAAAGACCTATATGTACCTAAATAAATTTTTAACAAAAAATAAAAATCAAGCAGCTTAATACTGACTGCTAGAGGCAATACCACCTGGATTCGAAGTTTGGAGCTACAGTTAACACAGTAGTTTGAGGAAATATGCCTAACTCTAAACTTAGACACAATTAGCACTGTATGACCTAGCTGCATAATAATGTTTTCTGCAGGATTTAACCCACCAAGTTATGTCTAACAGTGATCCATGCAAAAGCTTCCTTGGGCAGGGAGGAAAAAATAAAAAATCCAAAGAAGTTTAGTCCCACTCAGTGACTTGTTAGAATCAAAGGGACTCAAAAAAACTCACAAAATTTAAAAAAAAATAAATAAAAAGAGGGTGGGAAATGAAATCACCATGAACTAGTCTGTGAAATGTGCCTCAGTTGATGTTATTTCCCTAAAAACAGCTCAGAATAAGGTATTTGAGGACTATTGTCACTACATGTCTACATACATACACAGCTTTCCAGGTTTACCTAGAATATCTTCAAGCCTTGGAAGATGAAGTGGCTGTAGGGTGAAACAGGAACATGCTCTTTCTCTGCATACCTGGTCTGCACATTCCCCAGAGTACCAATGGATCAGCATCCCTTTCCTTTTACTCCATGCATTTATGCTGATCCACCTCTATTATTTATTTTCATTGTAAAAGCTTATTTTAAGCCTCAAACAGGAAATAATCCCAATTGTGACTAATCTTGCAGCAGTGGTTGGGCAGCTTCAGTGTGTCGGATTTGCATGGGATTTGCTTGGGCCAGGACAAAATGCTTAACAAAAACTGCAGTGAAAACCAGAACAAGCAAACTGCCCAGGAAGACTCCTACAACTGTGGAATAGGTATCTGTTCCAAAGGCTCTAGGAACTCCTTCAGCAAGTATATCTTTCACAGCCTTGAAGGAACCATTGTTTGGCAGTGGGTCGATGCCAAGCAGGTGGCACAGTAAGGGGTACAAGTCTGTGGCATTCATGACTTCCTTGGTGGCATTCCTTCTGAAAGCAGGCCCAACTGCCACAAAAATTGGATGCATTTCTGGTACCATGTTGTCATATCCGTGATTGCCAACTAGAAATAAAAGACAGATAGAAGTCAATACCCTAAAGTTGCAAAACAGGCAATAAACCTTTTCCTAGAATTAGCAGAATGCAGGAAAGGCACAGCAATCAGTTATTCTTGCAGAGGTTTAGAAGAATTGTTTTGACCAAGAGCACAAACACTTCCTAGCAAATACCAAGTCTCAGAATTACAAAGAGAAAATGCCTAAAAAACCCAATACCGGATAGCACTATTTGAAAAAAAGAAAAAGAGGAAAAAAAAGTAAGCTCATGGCAGTTAACATGCACTGTCAATGGCACACTACATACATCCAAGTTTCCTTGATTTTCCTCAAGCTAAAACTCCAACTTTGCAGCTGGCCCAGATCTCTTAGAGAAAATTAAAAAATCCGTGT